CTGAAGTAGAAGATTTTACTCCCTGGTTTAAGGAGAGGGAGGTAGCAAGACTTTTTTTTTTTTTTTTTAAGATTTTATTTATTTATATACAAGAACTGGGGTGTAGATCAGAGGTACAGGCAGTGAGAGAATCACCAGAGACAGAGTGAGAAGGACAGGTGGACTGACTGAAATACACTGTTGAGGGGAGCAGCAGGCGAGACAGGAGAGGTCTGATGTGCCGTATGGGTCAGCTCCTTGGCCATAGTGTGCTGTGCTGCAGTGTGACAGTGCTTTGTCTTTACCCCTGCAACACTAGGAAGGCCACAACACTAAGAATTTTGACAGTTGGGTAGGCGGTGATCAAGAATACAAGAGACAGGAGCACACACAGCCACAGTGTGATTTAAGGCACCCTGCCAACAGGTGATTAGGTACGTGGAAACTGAGAGTTCAGAAAAGGTCTAGATTTGCGTATGATGGATGTAATGAAGGTGAACAGTCCATGAGAGTGTATGAAGTCAGCCAAGTGGAGTAAAGAATAAAAGGGATCCATCAGTGCTCTCCTAGTACTCACTAAAACACAGACCAGAGTTTGGTCTATAAATTCCCTGCCTCTGGCCTTGTAGGGATGACTCCTGTGGCAATCACCTGAATGAAGGATCCTACTACACCAAGACCACACTGGAATCCTGCTTTCCTATCAAGAGACATCTATGAGAAGGTCCCGACCTCCTGCTGTCCCAGGAGGTACCCAACTCAGCACTGCTCTCCGGATAACCACCACCTTCTGGGCAGTGGTAGCCCTGGCTATCATTCCCCTGAGGGCCGACAGGCTGCTGGAGTCAGCCAATTTCCTCAGCTGGGAATTTCTTGGCTTCAGTTTCTAGATCCCTGGCCACACTCCCTGAATGGGTCCACCAGATGGCAGGCAGCCTTTTCTTTTCTCCAGATTTCATGAGTTCATTCAACCTACCTGAGGAAGACAACTTGTTTTTCTGACAACTGCTACTTTCTCTAAAAAAGCACATCAATTTTGTATTCTGTAAGTGAAATATTTTGAACAGCCTATTAGTAAAAAATAAAACCTCTCCTCCTTTTACTATTCAATTATGTATTGTCAAAGAGTCATTACTTAATTATGTTATTTTACATTGATTCTGATCCAAGATGTGTTTGCACTAGGCATTTTATTTTGTGGTTTCACTAACTACTACTTAATTATCTCCACTACTGCCAAACACAAAATTCTACAAGATTTAGTAGCATAAATTAATAACTAATTATAAGCAGTTTCACTTAGTAAATCTTGCTCATTGATCACAGGCCAGAAAATATTATCTTTAGTGCTAACTTGTGAAGTTGGGTGAGAGATTCTTATTCTCTTTACCTAGGTAAGCCAAATGAGAATGGAAATCTATTTGTAAGCCACTTATTGCTTGTTATGAATCTTGAGACTTGGTACAAAACCCAAGCCTTGGATCACTGGGCCCAAGTTCATATCTTGCTTGTGACTTAACTGTGAATAACCTCAGGGCAAGACACTGAAGCTTTCTGAGCTTTCAGTTTTTTATCAAACAGGGACATCACAGAATTTTGGAGAAGTACTAAATGAGATGATTATTATTGAAGATAGCAATATTGGTTCTCTATTCATCCCTCCATTACATGGAAGCTTGCTTGGGCTGTGCTCTTATTGAAAGTGACCATACCTGCAGTTGTACACCAGTGGGTTGAGTTATTTATTTGAGTCTATTGCTAGATTTTCTAACCAGAAACTAAGAATTCAAAAAGTAAGAGATAAGTTGAGATGCTCTTTGCTTATATAGCCTACGCTGTTTAAGTACTTCTCTTACTTAACTGCTGCTACTACTCTGTGAAGCAGAATTTCTCATTTTCTATGGGGAAGCCAAAGCTTAATGAAATTGCTTTACCAAGTAAGTGGAACTGGAATGTAAACCCAGGTGTGATGAACTGTTAAGCCTGAGCTTTGTTTCCTGAGTTTCAATTCCCCTGGCATGGTTTGAAAAGCATCTTGGTATTTTATACATCCCTTGCCCTTTTAAGAGTATCACATACAAACCAATTCTACCAAATTGTCCTGCATATTCTGGTCTACTTCTTCTATCTCAGTTTCTGGATTACACATAATCCAGAACCTATACCCATGATCCTCCACTTCCCTGAAGAAAGTCTTGAGTCCCTCAAATGTCTGGATAAACTAAATTAAGTATACAGGCTCTATCTCAAGGGGTACTCAGAGGTGTAAGGCCTTCACCTAGTCACAACACAATCACCAGAGTAAAAGCTCAGCCTCCAAAAGGCAGCATGAGCTGTTCCAAAAGGGAGCATTAACTGTTCCAACCAGCAATTAAAAAAACCAACCGCTGTTTTAGTCATTTGGGTGAGTCACAGCAGAGAATGTGAATGTCTTTCCAGAGCAGAGCAGGATCTTTCTGTGGCGTTTGTAGCCCTGCTGCTTGTGCAGCGAACCCTAAGTGGGGTTTTCTAACATGCTGGCACTAGTACCAAGAGGTTTTATGCACTAGCACAGAAAGGTTCAGGCCCAGCAATACCCTTCTTCCAGAGGCAAAAAAGTCAACTTATTCTCACTAATAAGCCTCTTTTGGGTTCTACTGGTTTAGTGTCCATTCTGCAACTCAATCTCCTAAGCAACTTCCCTAAAAATGACACGATCACAAAACGTTCCCTTATCCTTGATTGCTGTAAAACTGTTGTACCTTTGAGACTTTCCTTCTCACAAGATGCTTGGTTTCTAAATTGGTCCTTCTTCCTCCTAATGTGCAAATCTGTTGGACTCCTAACATTGGTTCTGTGCCACAAATATAAGTAAATGGGATTTCTTGAATTTACATACGCCCATGGTTAGTAATATATATGTTCTACACAGAAACACTCCAGTGGCAGACCCAACTAACCTGTGTTATATACACAACTCAGAATCAACTGTGCCAACATCTGATGTAAACAACACATAAAACACACATGCCTGTCAGTCAGGAAAATACACCAAAACAAAAATTAAAAGATGAGAATATCAAAACCAATTTCTCCCTGGGAGCTCTCTAAATCACTCTTCCTGGAACACATATCTTTGTAAAATGACTGTTTAAGATCAGTAAACATTCTTTGCTCCAGTATCTAAGTAGATAAATCAGTACTCAATGGTAGCAGGAAAGGTGGAAAAAAAGAAATAGTCTATTGGAACCATAATGAAATATACAGGCCTCCCTGGTGGACCAAGGCTTAAGTCTCAGCACCATGAAGCTATCATTATCCACTGCAGCACAAGATGGACCCTCCACCAGGGAGATGACCCACATGCTGCAGCAGACCTCTCCTGTCCTGCCCAGGGATCCCCTCAGCAGTGTATTTCAATCAATCTGCCTGTTCTGCTTCCCATCTGTCTCTAGTAACTCCTCCCACCCCCTGCACCTCTGGCCTGCACCCCAGCGCTTGATGTTTAAATGAATATATAAAAAAAACCCACACACAGATTATGTCTGCCCAGATTTTTAAAAAGGGGAGGTGATTTTTTCCTTTTATCTACTGTTATTTTTCAGTTTTGATTTATGTGAAACGTACTTGTTTACATTAAAATACTTATCTGAGTAGCAAGTGGATATTTCAGGGAAAAAAAGAAGGGCACACTTTATGTGCTCACAATTAAGGCACTTGATAAGAGAGCCGAAGACGCCCCCTTGTGGCTAGAAAGGAAAACACTGTGGTGTAAGCCAGCAGATGCGTTCTTCCTATTTAAGAGGCCTTGGATTTCCCAGAGGCTTTTTTGCATCTTTTCCACACCCTGAAGTTTATTACTTGTCAGAATTTAGAAGCTGGTAAGCTCACATGGTAAAGCTGTCATTTACACCAACACAACACAACACAAGAGGTTTTCTGTTTTAAAAAATATAAACTGATGTTTTCAACCATCAACATAAACTCAAGATTAGCTGAGGGCCTCCCTGGTGGCCTAGGGGTTCAGTTTAGGTGCTATTACCATGACTGCTCCCCTCCCCCCTTCCCCCCACGCAGCTTGAATTTGATCATCAGCCAGGGAGCTGACCCACATGGTATGGCAGACCTCTCCTGTCTCCCCTGCTGCTCCCCTCTGCAATGTATTTCAGTACATCCACCTGTTCTGTTCCCCACTGTCTCTGGTGAATCCTCTCATCCTACCCACCTCCACCTCTGGCCTACATTCCAGCTTTACAGGCATAAATAAATCTTTTTTAAAAATTAGCTGAAATTTGACCTCAAAGATAGACGCTAAGTACCCTGGACAGGGACATGGGGTAAAGGAACCAAACTACTGGAAGCAAAGCAAATCCTAAACAACCAAACTTAGTCCCCTTGGAAAACAAGCTCAGCTTGTTCCCACTTTAGTCATTATCAAGAGATCAGAATCCAAGGCCAGAAGACATAAAAGGATTTTTACTATGATAATATAAAGAATTCCTGGGCCTCCCTGGTAGAACAGGGGTTAAGTCTCAGTGCTAACAAGCTACTGCCAGCCACTGTGGCATGAGTTCAATCCCCAATCGGGTATCTGACCCACATGCACAGCAGACCTCTGCCCCCCCTGAGCAGTGCATTTCAGTAGATTCACTTGTTCTGCTCTCCATTCTGTCTCTGGTGAATCCTTTCACCACCATCCTTTGCCTCTGGTAGTATGAGAGGATTCACCAGAGACAGGATGGGGAGCAGAGTAGGCAGATCAACTGAAATACACTGCTGAGGAGAGCAGCTGGAGAGAAAGGAGAGGTTCTGCTGCACCATGTGGGTCATCCCCCTGGCCAGAGATCAAATTTGTGCTGCAGTGGCTGCTGACAGCTTATAGTGCTGTGCTTTAACCCCTTGCACCGCCAGGGAGGCCCTTTAAATATTTTTTTAAAATGTTTTGAATGCTCCATCATTATAATCTTTTATAATAAGCTAATCTTTTCAGACAAGGACATGAAGCTATCTAACTGAAAAGGTAGTACTCACAGTTCTAGTAGTGGAGAAATTCCTTGTCACATACCTTTTTAATTTTAAGAGCATTAGCGTAACACCTACAAAAATCGTCCATAATAGCAAGTCTTAAACCTGAGGCAGTGAAACACACAAAGAAATAACACATCTTTCGTGCCTCTAATTATACAGAATATTCTCTGGGAATCTCAAAGGCTAACATCATGTCTGGAAAACATTTTTAACAGCCAAAGAGTATAAATAAATATACTACTCTTATAACCTGGGAAAATACAAGACATTAAATGAGAAAAATGATGTAAAACTGAACATACAGCATTTGTACAACCAAAGTTAAATCCACTCACTCACACCCTATCTATACAGAGATTAGAAGGAAACACTGAAATACCAACAATGCTTGTAGATGACAAGGCTGAGGCTAGGGGCGATTTCATTACTGGTTTGCCCTTTGACTCTCATTTTCCCAGTATCTATCCAGCATGGGTATCAAGGTAAGGATATGGTTTCATTCTTTTATGGTCAAATAAACAAACAATTCATATTGACTATAAAATAAATAGGTACTACTTAAACTCAATCATCCTCAAATTTTATTAAGAAAGAAAATAGATTTGGATTCAGCATGATTCAGCAGGAGTCAAGACGTGATAGTCATGAGAGGCAAGCATGGCTGGTACACTATAGGTGGACAGAGATTATTCTTCCATTGGTACAATGGACTCCAGGGCCTGGGACTGAATCTTAGTTCTATGTACCCCTGGAAATGGTTTTCTCTATCAAATGAGAGGCTGGAGAGTATAATGGTTCTTAATCCTCACCTGGCTGCCGACCCCCCCGCACCACAAAGACCCCTTCCTTCCAAGGGTGGCAGGGAGGGCTTGAACACGTTACTCACAGAGCCGAGAGATTTACGGATTTTTGGAAGGTGCAAGGGCTAAACATGTTCTCTTTTACATCTGTCTCCAATGCTAAGGGAAATATTTTCATTTCCTCTATCTTTGTTCAAAGTCTGCTCTAGCTGCTGCCAAGATATGACCAAGTCATCACCTTTCTGTTCTAACCAAGAGCCACCTCTCAAAAAAAGATGGCGTATCTACTCAACCCCAGGCTTAGAAAATGGCAAGGCGCTCTGGCACCACACTCAAAGATTTCCCTCTAAACAGAACCCTCGGCTGCTGGTGTAAAATCAAGCTGCGAAAGCCAGCACAGCAGACTTAGTCTACAAGAATAAGAAAAGGATTCCTTTCCAAGAGACATTCCTGTTGAGCTCTGACATTCCAATTATAAACATGTGTAAGAACATGATTTCCTTAGCCTCAGTCTTCTCTGTTAAAGATATACATCAACAGAGGGAATTACAACAGAAGCCAGAAGTAAACAGAATTTGATCAATTACCATTTCTCTGCCAACAGATGAACCTTTCTTAAGCAACCTACTGCACGTAGCCTTGTTGCTCCATTTTTTACTTTTATCACTGATCATTGTCTAGTCAATGCCAAGAAAAATATTTTCCCCACGCCAGGATTCAAAAAGAACTAAGAGTTTTCCATCCCAATGCTCTTTTGTACATTAAAGACAAAACTGACCTCCACTTCAGACATGAAAGCAAGTTAAGTCATACAGCTGGAAAATTGTGGCAAAATGGTATTTTTGACAAGTTAGAGGTAAGGGTATGGTTTCATTCTGTTGTATTTCAAATACACCTGGGTATTTTGCTTACCTAATTCTGTTTCTGAAATAAGTAACACTAAAACAGACATAAGTCAGGTATGTGATGCAGCCAGGCGCTTGCCGGATCAGTACTTACTCCTGGCAATATTAGGGTTTTTCTCTCCTACCACCCACTGCTGGGCCAGTTCCTTTCTCAAGACTGATGCAGGGGTAACTAATCATAGGTACCCAGAGAAGTCTTCAGCCTTGAAGATGAGTCCAGAAGAGGGCACAAGGCCTATTTGCCCTGGGTTATACTGCCTCCATTTGGAGGATGGGAAAGCTATCCACTTTGAGGAGGAATGATGGGTAGGAGTGAGCATGATGTTCTAACTCAGACCAGACTCCAAAAAAAAATCCTTTTGGTTTCAGACAATCAGTCTCAAGATAAGGTGGCCTGTTTAAGTCAGGTTTACTGATGTTTTCTGTGGATGCTGATAACCACAATTCTTCCTCCCTGAGCTGCCAGATTACAATACTTTGTAATTTAAAAAAAAAGGGGGGGGGAGGGAGGAGGAAATTAGAGGACACTTGTATTTAAAATGGGCTAATTTTTTCCATTTTTCTTAAGGTAATTCTATTAATGCTACCAGTGGGCCAATGGTAGAATTCCTCTTGCTACCCCACTGGTCATTCCAAAACAAATGGCTTTATATATAGAAACTCTCACAACTATGCAAAAAGTTTGGAGTTAACTAGCAACAAGCCTGAAAATTTGGTTTCGTATATAGGTACAAAGCTGGTTCATCAAATCCCTGTTCTGGCCTTCAACCCAGTGCATTTCAACTAAGGCATCATCCACCTCCTTCTTAATGTTTATCAAACACTTAAAGAGGTAATGTCCAGCCACCCTCTGGAGATGATTCCCTTTTTCAGACACTGGGTTGCTGAGGTGCTCAAAAGTCTCTCGGTCCTGGGATCCATTGCCAGAGCCTTTACAACTTTCCAAAGCTCCCACCCCTCCCTTCTCCTCACTCCTTTCATCCTCCATGACTTCTGGGTTTTCATCCTGGGACAGCACCTCCTGGTTTGGGCCATGGCCCTCAACTGTGACAGGCTCGCCTTCCAGTGGAGCAGGCCCACACAGGGCACTCTCCTGGGGGCCCTTGGCCAAATCCTGGCTACTGCCAGACTCTTTGGGAGGAGACTTTTTCTCTTCCAAGGCTTGGATGACATCTTCAGGAGCTCGGGGAACTTCTCTCAATTGTCTCACTCGTTCTCTTTTCTTTCTCCTTAAATGAATCCATGAATTTTCTATGGCTGTTAGGAAAAGGCTAATTTCCTCTTTTCCACAGGGAACTCTTTTATGTTGGACCTATTTAGAGGAAAAACACAGTTTATAGAAAAATCTCTTTCCTCCTTATAAAACTTATTTTAAATAAAGTTTTATAAATAAAAGGAAGATTTTAAGTACGTCAGTACAGTGAAGATTATTTATACAGGGCTTAAAACAGGTACCTTGAGATCGGTGAGAATTTTTTCAATCCATGTTGTCACAACTACTATGCCTTCCGTTGTCTCGGAACCTAATGATGAGGCTTTGAGAGATAATTCTTTCATCACAGATTCCAACACTACAAATGTAATGGGTTTCCTTGGCTTCTCTAATTTTCTTCGCTTACTTGGTGGTGACTGAAAGAAAAAGGCATGGCAAAGAGAAAATTATCCAAATAACAAAATTCCATGCATCATAATAAACTCACCAATGAGAGGAATGCCCATATTTCTGCTACCAAATGAAAAGCACAAAGAACAAAATCCTTCGCATGTGTATTTTCAACAAACCTGGAAATTAGCTTTTTATCTCCTTAACTTTACAAAGGGAAAAACTAAGACAGAGGTCATATAACCAGTTCCAGGTCAGAGAGCTAGTGATTACAAAATTACTATTTGCACCCAAAATTCAGATTCCTTCTGCTGTACCATGCTGTCTGTGTTCTGGCTATCAATATGTAACTAGTTCATGTAACTATTCGTAATCTACCTACTCTGCCCAAAGCAGACCCTTATAATTACTTACTCTGTAGCAACTTTTTAGGAACCTCTGGGGGCACTGTGTTCTCTCCTATAAAGAACTGCATGGTTAAAAAATCACTAACTTCCAGTATGAGTTGATACTTTCTGAGGCTTGATAGAAAGTTGTCAGACACAGCTTGTGAGATCACAGCTAGGAAATGATCAGGGCTATGGTGAGCGGGGGAGAGGCAGATTGCCGAATCTTGGCTAAAATTAGGGCCATGCCAATAGTTAGCCAAATATTGCAGCTCATAGGAGGAAAGACAGGTTAAGAGGATACCAGTATTGATAAGAACAATGAACTTAAAAGCTAACACCACATAAATTGTCTCCTTAATTCTTTCTTTTTCTATATCTCAGGCTTGGAAAGTGAATCATTTTCTACCCACTAGGGGTACTCAGGTTCCATTTTAAAAAATCAAATGACACCACTATTTTACAATTGCTTTCTTTGAAAAAAAAAAAAAAAAGATTGATTTATTTATGCATACAAGAACTGGGGTACAGGCCAGAGGGGCAGGAAGATGAGAGGATTCACCAGAGACAGAGTGGGGAGCAGAACAGGCAGATTTACTGAAATACACTGCTGAGGAGAGCAGTGGACAAGACTGGAGAGGTCTGCTACGCCATGTGAGTCACCTCCGGGGCAGGTATCTAACTTGCACTGAAGCAGCCACAGCCTGGCTTGGCTTGGCAGTGCAGCGCTCCAACCTGCTGTGCCACAAGGGAGGGCCATAGTGCTGCACTTTAATTTGTTGCACCACCAGGGAGGATCCTGTAATTGCTTTCTTTGAAGTTTAAACTTAACTAAACTTTTTTTTTTTTAGTTTTATTTTTACATCATTTTATGTAAACTTTTTTTTTTTAAAGTACTGCTAGGTAATGTCAAATAAATTATTTGCACTTTGTTTTAGGAGGTAAACTTGTACTTGCTTGCGTGCTTATTAAGACATTTAGTTATTAATCCTCACATCAGGTTTAACGTAAGTATGTATGGATTACAAGGATAATTTTTCAAAAAGTGAAAAAAAATACCTATCAGCTTTGAAGAAAAAAGGGAATCTGAAACTGTGCTACTAACTCCAATTCTATGTGGAAACAGAGAGTATGTCACATACACACACAATAAAAATAAAGCCCAAATACTGGGTAAAAAAAATTTTTTTTAATCTTTTTTTTAAATTTTTTTTTCCCACGGGTTTCCCATCACCAAATCACCCCTGTGCCACCACCATAGTCCCGTGCATTTCCCTCCCTTCCCCCCCCCCCCATTTTTGGTCCCATTCCCCACTCCACCCCCACAGAATGTCTCTGGTCTATGGTTGTTCATTATTTTTGTTATTTTCTCGCCTGGTCCATTATACTCCTGCTATGAGTGAAACCATCCGGTATTTTTCTTTCTCTTTCTGGCTTATCTCACTAAGCATGATCTTTTCCAGCTCCATCCAAGTTGCTGCAAAAGACATGTGTTTCTCTTTTTTGGTTGCTGAGTAATATTCCATTGTATATATGTATCACATCTTTCTAATTACTGGGTAAAATTTTAAAAGAACTAGTAAGCAACACCATATTCCTTAACTACATAAGAAGACAGTTTACTCCATGTCAGACAACTTGTAAAGACTTACTTTTATTTATTTATGCATACAAGATCTGGGATGTAGGCCACAGGTGTGAGAGATGAAATGATTTACCAGAGACAGAGTGGGGAGCAGAACAGGCAGATCCACTGAAATACACTGCTGAGGGGAACAGCGGACAAGACAGAAGAGGTCTGCCGCATCATGTGGGTCGGGTCCCTGGCTGGGGATCCAACTCATGTTGCAGTGGCTGGAGATAGTTTGACAGTGCAGAGACTTTAATTCCTACACCACCAGGGAGGCCCCATTCCAGGAAACTTTTAAAGTACTATCTACTAGAAATAATCTATACCTTCTCTTTATACCAGAAATTAATTTTAAAAAGGAAACTGAAAAAACTCTAGCAAACAAGCTTACAAGCACAGGATCAAACACAAAGGGTGTAAGAATCAGCTTGAGAAATTGTGGACTCTATGCCACGTCTGAGTCTGAACTTGTTCAATTAGAATCAGATTAAGATGAGTACAGTACACTTGACATTAAAACTAGTACTGTTATTACTCAATCACCCAATTTAAGATACAATACTTCTACAGTCTACTAAGAGCCTAGGACTTTACACTAAGGAGTTTAAAATATGATTATTAACCTGGGAAGGAAGAAAGGTGGTGATATGTAAGAAGAATGGGGGACAAGAATCCATTTCTAATTTCTAATTCCATTTACCGACATCTGAGCTGTTACCATGGAGATGGAGAGGTCACAGTAACAGGGTCATGCTTAACAACCATCCCAGCACACCAAAGGTCATCTACAAATATGCCTAAAAGGATGTAACACCCCACCTCTCTCCTGAAAGAGGATAGTCATTTGTGCTCATAAATTCCAACAAGAAAACTGAATTGCTGTTTCTCATTTGTTGTGCTAAGGCTGGCCTGCAATATGTTCTCCAAAAGTTTAGAAAAGACTCATCATGCTTTCTAGAACTTGAAGGAGATAAACCTAGTAAAAGCTCAGTCAGACTCTATTTCCCAAGTTCTGAGGGAGGCAGAAACAAAACAGAGTACTTATTATCCTGTTATCCCTAGAAGAAAATGAAGACTTGACTAACTCAAACAAGGTACCTGAGTCCCGATTTTCCACATACAACTGTCAATCAATAAATGTGGTTATTTTTGAAGATTTTTATTGAAATGTTTTAACACACAGGTACACATACATAATGTCAGACTGCTTTAGGATTTTACTCTACTATAGAAACTAGTCACTCAAGAGGAACAGACAATTTATAATCTAGAAATTCCAGGCAGCATTCTTAAATGACTGAAGATTAACTTAAGCTTGGTTTATAGCAATTATTCCTTTCCCCATCTTGCTTGCACTGAAACTGTTAGTAGACAGGCAGGGTCAAGTATAAAGAATAAGGGATCTTGAGAAAGTAATAGGTAAAATTAACCCTTGAGACCTCTACTAGAAGGTAATTTCATCCCTTGCCACAATATTAGAAAATACAAGCTGTCTTTCCTCAAGAGATGATCTTATTTTGCTAATATGCTTATAATCTCAAATCACAAATATTTTAAATGAAGAGTGCTACACTCAAACTCTCATAACCTAGTTTAGCAGTGAATGCAACAGAAATTCTTTAACATTTCAAAATGTTTAATTAAAAAAAAATCAATCATTTAAATTGCTAACAGTATAATGCAAAGAGCCAGAAGGTGAATTTACAAGTGATTTCAGAATACAAAATGCACTTCTATACCACACAGATGAAATTACTGAAATTCACTATGAAAAGGCTGGTAGAGAGCTATAAGTCCCACAGGGGTTTTAAATTGTAAGGAAGTATCTAATGAATAATTATCAAAAGGGGGAGGAGCTTCAAGTATTACTCTGTGGTACTGTTAAAAACACATCAGAATAAAACCAGTGGGCAAAGACATTCTTAAATTTTAAAATATGCATCAGCATGTAGGCCTTTCTAAAGATTTCTCACATCTCAATTTTTTATTTAATTTCTAGATCTAAGAGGTACAATCAAGAAACTTTCAGATGAGTTGTTACTTGACACAAAAATGTGTAGCACCTTTATGCTGCTAAAGCGCTCCTGTGAACTAGAGCAAAAGCACAAACTTTCAACCAAAGCCACAGCCACAAGTTCTGTCGAGCATCTGCAGGAAAAGCAGAGTCACTCCCTGGAGGTCATCTGTGCAAGAAGTCACAGTGTCCTTTTTTTGATAAAGCTGTTTCTAGACTGGTCGTGAGGGGAAAGGAAGTTCCTGGCCACTAGCTGGGGTTTATGCCATCTTCCAAATGGCTACTGCTGCCAAGCTTGCGGGAGCAGGTAGATGCCTGGGCACTGAGAGTCTGTACAGGCTATCATTATTTGGAAACAAGGGGCCAACGATGACATCTCACAGCCAATACTGACAGCCAGCCAGTGTGCTAGGAAGGCAGCCACACTTTATCAGGACTGTGCCTTATTCAAAAACACATCTGCTGCCATGAAATGAGATGAATATTCTGCTGCCAAAGGATACAGCTTCCTTATTAACAGCTTAGTAGGCATTTCCACAGTTACCTTATCCTAGCAGATTACTGTTTAAAATCTCCTGAAATCACCTTCAGGAGTGATGTAAAATCATTAAGTGGTAACCTACAGAGAAGGAATAATACCTCTAAATAACATTTTCCCTCTTAGATAAACCAGAAGTCCTTAGAGAAATGGTTGATTCCAGATTTGAGACAAAAAAAAATTTATAAGCTAGGAACAATGTGCCATACTAGAAACAGAGATGCTACCAAAGACCCTCTATTAGTCACGATACAAAATTTTCAGGAATCAACCTGAATAAATTCCCCATGGCCACAGATGGGACACAACTAGTGTACCAATAAAGACAATGAATGTGATGGATTGAAAAAATTCAAAGTGTAAATCTATGAGTTTATAGTACTTTAAAGCCAAAAAGAAAACCACCCTCTTTGATCACCCTTTGAGAGATGATATGAAGCCACCAAATGATTGTTCTT